GATAGAAAAGAAGGAAAATGCATTCACATTTTAGCAGTATATCCTCACTCTGCTATTATATCACCTTTCTTATTCCAGTGATTAAGGGCAGGACCTTGCCCGAGTCACCTCCTACCCTACACTGCACCTAGAAAACAACTTTGTATAAAACAGGTGTTTGGTAAATTAGTAGCAATTAACCAAGCAGAGTGAACAAATTTCCAAATAGTCACAATTATCCCTATTCCTTTAAGGAACTGAATCTATTTCCCATTCCCAAAACATTTTATGGGAAACTCAGAATCAGTCTGAGATTCTTATAAACCTTCAGATCAAGACTACAGCACTCTCGGAATCTGTCACAGTAACTTGTGTTGCCTGCAACCATTTTAAGTAGCAAGGCACTACATTCTTGGATAATGACAATGAACTACAGATACCAAAAGCAATCATGGAACAAGATGACCAAGTTATAAAATATTCTGTCAGGAAAAGAGTTATATATGAACAGCAGCACCCCTTTATCTTAAGATCAGCATTAAACTGGTTTATTTAAAAGCAGGAGCGAAGCCCACTCCATTGTCCACTGGTATATACTGACTGATCTAAGACATCCAACCAAGCAGACTAATAGTCCCAATTCTGGATAGCTAATTTCTGTGCACACCTCTCTAACAGACTAACATGACTCCAAGGCCTAAGCGGGACGTCTCATTGCACAGATTATGCCACTGACCCTTCTCTTTTTTTTTAAGATTTATTTATTTATTTATACAAGAACCAGGGTACAGGCCAGATGCACGGGAGGGTGAGAGGATTCACCAGAGACAGAGCGGGGAACAGAACAGGCAGACTGATGAATTACACTGCTGAGGGGAGCAGCGGGCATGACAGGAGAGGTCTGCTGCACCATGTGGGACTCTCCCCAGCAGGCTGGGATCAAACCAGTGCTGCAGAGGCTGAGGACAGCTTCACAGCGTGGTGCTCAACCACCTGCACCACCAGGGGAGGCCCCTTCGCTGTCTTCTGCTGACCTCAGTGAAGCCATTCCAAACTCACCCCTTCCCCGTATCATCCCTTGTAACACTGGTAGCTCAGTGACCAAAGGACAGAGTGGGAAAATAACCACAACCTACGTGATCCCACCCTCAGCCTCAGCTTTGTCATGATCTAGTCACCTGAACTCATCAGGGCTCTGGGTTCAGAACATTCTGCGAACCAGGTGTCATCCTAAACATCACCCTAAACACAGCATGTTGTGCTATTGCAGAGGGAAGGGGAAAAATACAGTCAGACAATGCAGGAAATGCATATAAAGATAATATTGGACTTGAATTCCTCCAGCAAGCTATTAGCACTACCCTGAGGTCTCTAGCATCAGCTGATGCTCACATTTTAACACGTCTTCCTGACACCTTTCAAAAACTTCCCATTGAAGACTTAGAATAAAATCTCGATACTGATGCTACAAATTACAAAGCCATCTTTAATGTAGGTCATCCCTATCAATCTCCCCTGGTATCTTTTCCCTCTAGCTTCCCCACAATTCCCCTTCCTACCACCCAACTCTACTACATGACAGTACCAGACTTTTGTCTCTCCTGCCCTTCAAATAGCTCTTCTCTAGGTCTAACATACAGATTCTCTCTTGCTTAGCCAACACTTACTCAGGTTTCAGTCACATTTTTGCTATCCCTTCCTGAGGCTGACCTTTCCCTAGACCCCTTCCACTCCCTGTCAGAACAATCCTCTTTCTTTCACCAGAACCAGTGTATCTGTCAATTATCACACTTGTCCAGGCCACACCATAAACCCAAAGTAGTCAAAAAGCTGTGCATGTCTTCTTCCCCTCTGTTTTCCTACTGCCTAGCATAATCTCTCACCCTGCATAAATATTCTATTTGTTTGTTTGATACTTAACTTAGACATAAAGGTCAGTTCTTCCCCAAGTTGGCATCACTCTCACACAAGGAGAGAGGTAGAACGATTGCATCTGCATTCACAGGTACAGCAGAGATTTGCACAATTCAGTCAGACAAGCCCCTTGCCTATTTTGATTCCCCCAAACCTATTCTATAAGTTTATTGCATCATGCATACTTGCTGCCTGCCATGCCCCGTCCTTTTGCTTCTGGAGTGAACGTCTTCCCTCCATCCATATGAACATCACATTCCACATTTAGGATGAAATGGTTTCATCAAAATGCATATTGATTATTCTGCCTATATGACACAGGACCCTAAGCAGATGGAGGAGCCAGAGGGTCACGTGGGAGCAATACTCCTGTGATTTTACACTGACCTAAGAGCTCCCAGCAAAACTGAACGCATCACCTGCGCTCTGCACAAGATTAATTGAGGGCCAGCCACGCACCACATAGTCAGGGAAAACATCATTATTCTAGTCATTACTCTAAACAGCAAATGCTGTTGCTCTAAACACGAGTGTCCCATTGTTACCAGTTATCTTTTTTCTCCAAACTGCATGATTCCAAATTAGCTGTATTCAGGGCACCTTAAAAAAAATCAAAGAAAACAATTCTGTACATCAGATTTCTCAACTATGCAGACAGCCCTCCTTTTGCAATGTGACCAGATGTGAGGGGGGCTACATAGAATTTTTAATCACGTTTCTATGATTAAGAACACCATTTCAGGGATCACCAACACTTAGCCTAGATCCCAACTCTGTTACTGATTACCAGGGAGACACTTGTACAACTCCTCGTCCCTCCCAGAGTTTATTTCTTCATGGGCAAGATGGTGATAACAAAGTAAACATTTGATAGCACCACAATTAGAATTAAATGGGAGTAGAATTAATTAAGATGTGTATCCAGGCAATAAGAAAATATAAATGTAACTGTCCTTGCTTCACAGGATTATTGTGCAGCAAAAATGACAATCTTCCTAAAGCATTTGGCATAATGCCCAGCACGTAATAAACACTCAATAAATGATATCAATCCTCGCTACTAACTAGCAGTGCTCCTACTGCCAAGTACGCATGGGACTGTGTTTTAACAGAAAGAGCCAGGCTGTCCCTAAACACCAGCCCTGTTTATTTGCTTTCTAGTGTACCTTCTCTGAGGGGGAAGAATCCCAGCTCAAGAATCAGGGAATCCAAGGTAGATCCCTGAGAAGAATATACCTCATGTGTGAACTTCCCCCCCCCCCGGGTATCATCACAGGTGGAAGATTGTGAGACCATGAATCACTGCCATGATTTCACAATAAATCCTCTGTGCTCTTGAGATCTAAAAAGACATCAGGCCTATCCAAATATTCAAGTCCATCGTTATTCATCCTTAGAGCTCTAAAGGAAAAGAAGGGGAGATGTGATTTGACCCACACATTCAGAATTCTTATAAGCAAAATCATAATGAAAAATGCAGGGAACAAAAGAGTAGAGATAAGCCAAATCTGTATCACTCATCCTATGACCTCACCTTTGCTCCTGCTGAGTCTTTTGCCAGGAATGCACTGTATTCCCAGCAGGGTCAACCCCCTATCACTAGCTATATAAATCTTGCTGTCTACATGCAGCTTCACTCAGGAGGGCAGTTCACCATCACCTGCCCTCCCCTGACCCATTCCACAATCATGCACAGCTTTGCTTGAAGAGCTTTTTTTTTTTTTTTGCTTTTGCACATAGAATAACTGGGATATAGGCCAGAGGTGCAGGGGGTGAGTGGATTCACCAGAGGCAGAGTGGGGAACAGAACAGGTACTGAAGTACACTGCTGAGGGGAGCAGCAGGCAAGACAGGAGAGGTCTGCTGCACCATATGTGGGTAGCTCCCTGGCTGGGATCAAACTCATGCCTTCGTGGTAATAACACTGAGACTTAGGCCCTAGGTCACCAGGTCAGCCCCTAAGACCTCTTAACTAAATACCTAACACAGTTTCATATCTGCTCACAACTCAATCACTGACCACTCATGTTAACCATATACCAGCTCATTTTGTTAATTACGCTCCCTTCGCATATGAACTGTGTATGTCTTAGGTTTCTCGTCCATCCTCCAGAAGTCCTGATACATCCCACACCACCAGGCAAAGTATAGGTCAGACTCATCACATACTATAAAGAGAAAAAAGGCAACCCCCTACTATTACTGAAGAGAAATCTCAGACCCAGAGAACTTGAACAGCTTGTTCAAATTCAACATTATAGTTCCAAGTCAGGATTGTAGCTATAACCTTTTAAACCACAAACCACTGTTTCTCAATAATCCTTGTTAATCTCTAATCCAAAGGAAAGAAAACATGCAAAGAGAAGTGACTACATATAAAATATATGCACTACTCAGTGAAAGTTGGCAGTTACTGTGAAGGCTGAATGGCCCCAGGGTCCAGCTGGGCCTGGCACAGGTCAATGCTATGAATGACTGGTGAGTCATTAGCCACAATTGGATAACTGTAATCAATAAAATAAAGATACAGCACGGATCTGAGGAACACCGAGTTAACCACACCACCACTATCACCAGCAAACAACTCTGCATTTGGTTATTAAATGTGGCTTTCCCTGCTATCATGGAACTGGAAAAGGAGTATAAAACAGTTTACTAGGTGGCATGTTATGTTTTTGTGAAAACACATCTTTTCAAGCTTAGAGAATATAGACTTATGCTGTTCTCTGTAGCAATGCAGCTTACTTCCAGCCTTTAGGCTCTGGTGGCTGACATGTTTTATACATTAGCAAGCATTAGAAAGAGGCTGATGTCAAGATGACTTTCTCCTCTTCATGCATCTTCAGTTAACATCTGCTGACAGAGCACATACCCATGAAAAGAGTCGTAAAATTCAGCTCTAATTTTGCAGGAGATACTAAAATATATTTTTTGGGGCAATACCAAACTTAGTCTTAATGATATTTACAGAGGGACTTACATAGTAAAATTTGGCTTTTCTCTATCACTTTGCAAAACCATGATACTTTATACTCAATTTTATTAGCTATTCCTTGTGGGCTTCTGTTACATTCTAATAAGGTACACCAGACAAACTTTACCAACAGCCCAAGCATTTCCTCTTTATTCAGTTGTAACCCAACTGTAAAATGTCATTTCCATTTCCTTGATTCCCTAGTAATTGTCTCAGATTCTCCTTGGATAAGGCAGCTATTTCCTGGAAGGAAACAAGTTTTGAAGATAAATTGATTGTTACAGGTCACGGGCTACGCTGAGTAATTTACTTTGAAGTATGCTAACAAATGAGTAACAAGGAAGATTTTGTTTTTGCCATACCAGATACCACCCACTTAGGAAAAAAAAGCTAAAAATGTCTTATACTGATTATTTTTGCCCAATTTCTGGGTTTTAAGCATAAGAAGCTTCAGACTACCAGAAGGAGAGAAAAGACAATTCTGCTTCCCCTTCATCATCCCCATCATCATCCACCTGTGTTTAGTGCCTTTCCATTCCTTTAGAAGCCCCTGTTAACCACCGTCAATGTCACCAACACCATGTTCTCCATCACTACCACTTATTGAAAGCTACAATGTGCCAGGCACACCCTTATTTACCCTCATGCTTTCTTACCCCAAGACGTAAGCATTTTTCACATGACAGAAGTAATGAAACTAAAGTTGAGATGTTAAGGACTTATCCAAATGGCTCGATCATTTAATCCAGAATTCAAACTCCAGTCAGCCTGGACCTAGAACCTGAGATCCTAATTGCTCCTCCACCCCAGGATCCCAGTGTTTATGTTGTCTAAACCATCATGAGCAGCCCAACTTCCAACAGCCCTGAACCCTGCGCGGGATACCAGCTGCCTAAGCCTTGTCAGTTCCTTTTCACACGAGATAAACTCTTATTCCCTCAAATGTCTCCCTTCTGACTGCTGTAAAGTACAGATGATTCACAGCCCCTTTATTCACCAGAGATAGTCATCCTTATATTTGTACTCATATTTACATACAGGAGGTGATTATCTTAATCTCTAAGATTTTAGTTATGGTAGTAAGGTGACGTACAAATAACTCAGGGAAGAGGACATATGTGTTAAAAGGAACTGACTCATTGGGTGATCAGAAGGCAACCAGCCCAACCTCATGCTCCCTGAAGCACTTGCTCTTACTCTGAGTTTCACTCCTTTGCCCAATCTTGAATTCATGGACTCTCAAAAACAATCACAATTATGCCTCCTTCTGCCCTTCACTAGGCAGTGGTGGGAGTCATGTGGAGCCAGGAAAAGGAGACTGTTTAGCATGGACTATTTCAATAGACACACTTCTATTTCTGAGCCTGCATTTTATTTTCAAGGCAATAGTCATTTTCTCCTGATTGTAAACATTATATATGTTATATATGTTCATTGTAAAACGTTCAGAAAATAAGAAAATAAAAACCATCTATAATCTTACCTTTGGTCTATTACCCTGTCAACTGTTGGTTATATTTTCTTCCAGAGTAAGAGATAAAAAAAGAGGAAGGTAGAGCGAATGAGCTGTGGAAGGCAGTATAAACACAAAATTGACATTTTTTTGCATGAAACACCTACTGCAGTTTAGACTTCTGTATTTATGCTTAACACTGTATCTTGAGTATTGCCCATTATTCTCTAAAATTCGGCGAAAGCTTACTTTCCAGGTTGCATGATCTTATGGTCGTCCTTTCCTCTGCTGCTGACAATTTAAGCTGCTACCCATTTTTCCTCTTTTGAACTGTGCTCTGGCCAATGTCCTTGCATTGAAATCTTTATCCCTACCTCCGAGTACTCTCTTTGAAAATGGAGAAACAGATGCCAAATTGCCCTATACAGGGTGAATTTTCATTTTAATATCTTTAATATATATGCACAAAAAGTAAAGATCAAAGGTTAGTAGAGTACAATTTACATGCAAAGTACCTGAATTTGTGCAGATCAACCTACCATTTAAAACACAGCATGTGATCATTTTTCTTTAGCATCACAACAAAAAATCACATCACTCCCTTTGCTTTCAATAAAACCTATTTTATTTCTAGTGAGTTTGAATCTTTTTATAAGTTCAGAGAATCTTTGTATTTATTCTTTCTTTATTTTATCTTTTTAACTTTTTACATCATTGTTCATTTTTAAATAATATTTTCTTCCCCCCACCCGCTCAGGTGTAGTCCCCATAGAATTTCCTTCACCAAGGCACCCGTGCACCATCACCTCAGTCCCCTGTGCTCCTCCCTCCCTCCCTCTGATCCCTCTTTCTCCTCCTCCCCGCAGGATGTCTCTGGTTTATAATTGTCTGTTTTTGCTTTGTTATGTTTTATACTGTTATTATTTTTTTACACTGATGTCTTATTTGGTTCCCTTATGACCCTCCTGTAAGTGAAGCCATCCGATAATTTTCTTTTTCCTTCTGGCTTATTTCACTGAGTATAATTCCTTCTAGCTCCATCCCCATTGCTGCGAATGGCATGATTTTATCTTTTTTGATTGCTGAGTAATATTCCATTGTGTATATGGACCACATCTTCTTGATCCCATCATCTATTTCTAGGCATTTGGGTTGTTTCCAGGTTTTGCCTATTGTAAATAGTGCTGCAATGAACACAGAGGTACAGGTGTTCTTTCAAATCAATGTTTTTGTGTCCTTTGGGTAGATCCCTAGTAGTGGAATTACCTATCCAGGTATCTTGTTATCTTTTTAAATGAGATGTTGGTGTTTTACTGGCTTATGTTATGAACTTTGTAATCATTGCCACAATTACTAGACTTTTTTCTAATTTTTTCCTTTGTGAATTTTTTATTTAAATATTTTATATAATTCTTACATCTTTTTTCATCTTTGTACAATGTACGCATTTTCGTTTTGGTTATATTCCCCATACAATTGCACCCCTTCCCCCTTATTTTGACTCTAGTCCTTCCTTTCACTGCCCCTCCCCCCACCAGTGTGTCTCTGGTTTATAGTTGCTTGTTGATTTTGATTTTCACTTTGTATTGATTAGTCTTTTTTCCTGATTTCTAATTTAGGTTTTCTAAATTCCTGCTATGAGTGAGACCATCCGGTATTTTTCTTTTTCTTTCTGACTTATTTCGCTGAGCATGATCCCTTCTAGCTCCTTCCATGTTGCTGCAAACTGCATGTGTTTATCTTTTTTGATTGCTGAGTAATAGTCCATTGTGTATATGTACCACATCTTCTTGATCCAGTCATCTATTTTTGGGCATTTGGGTTGCTTCCATAGCTTAGCTATTGTAAACAGTGCTGCTATAAACATAGGGGTGCAGGTGCCCTTTGGAATTACTGTTTCCGTGTCATTTGTGAAATACCTAGGAGTGGAATTGCTGGATCATATGGAAGCTCTATGTTTAGTAGGTCCAGAAATCTCCACACAGCTCTCCATAGTGGTTGGACCGGTTTGCTCTCCCACCAGCAGTGCAGGAGAGTTCCTTTTTCTCCACAACCTCGCCAACATTTGTTGTTGCTCGTTTTTTTAATATGTGCCATTCTCACTGGTGTAAGATGGTATCTCACTGTACTTTTGATTTGCATTTCCCTGATGACAAGTGATGTTGAACATTTTTTCATACGCCTGTTGGCCATTTGCTTTTCTTCTTCAGAGAAGTTTCTTTTTAGCTCTTCTGCCCATTTTTTGACTGGATTATTTTCTTTGTATTTTGTTGAGTTTCATCAGCTCTTTGTAGATTTTTGTGATCAGTCCTTTATCATTAGTGTTGTGTGCAAACACACCTTTGTGATTTTTTTTTTATTGCTTTTATGTTATGATGTTTTTTCCCACCTCAAGATGATATACACTTCTACCCATCTCCCAGTAGTATTTTCCAGTTTTACTTACATTAAAACTTTTAGTGCACTTGTATTTTGTGCTGTTTGTTGCAAGTACACAATGTCTTTTGTTCAGATAATCTAGCAAACACCACTTTCTGAATGACTCATCAGCTCCTCATTGGTTTGAGGTCCACTGTTTAATCTGTGTAAATGCTTATGTGTGCTACACACAGATGATGTACTAGGATTAGAGAGAGTTTGAATCACACTTAAGAAAGCAAACAATGTTTAGAATGAACAATGATGTAAAAAATATATATAAAAAAATTTAAAAAAAAACCTTAAACCACTCCAATCAGGTGGTTCATTCTTATTACTCTTGTGCCTGTTCTAAAAGTCACTTCCACAGGTAGTCTTTTCTCATCACCCAGTAATAATCACACTCAGGTGTTCAGGTATTCCCTATTCTCTCACACTATTTTCTTTTTTTCATAGTATTAATCACAATCTGCATATATTATATATATGCCTAATTATTCTCCCTCTTTTTCGTATTTTTTATTTACTTTTTTCATTTTATACATTTTTTACATCATTTTTCATTTTTGCACAATGTATGCATTTTCATCTTGGTTATATTCTCTCTCATACATGGAAGCCCAAGGAAAACTAAACCTTTTGTGTTTTGGTCACTACTAAATTTTCAGGCCAAGAATACTCCAGGAACATAATAGATAGTCAATAATTATCTATTGAAAATATTAATAATTTCAGGGGTTACATCAACATGTCAGCCTATACTTGAACTTGTATCAATCTTCCTAAATTACTGCAATTCTAAAATAAATCTTAATTTTATTGGACAAATTTTCCTATTCTGTTCTTTTTCAAAATCACATTTGCTTATTATTCCAGATAGCCCTTAGACCAGTTTGTCAGATTCTTTGTCTCACCTATGCTCCACTTTATAGCAACTCTGAGAAAAACACTGACATTAAGTTAAAACTGTGAATACATTAGAGGGAAACTGACACTGCTCAGACTGATGAGAATATTGAATTATTTGTTGTTCTCATAAAACCACAGAAAAATACCTGATGCCCAAACTCACAGAAGCAAGGATTCTTATATCTGAAAAATTCAAATTGCTTCTTTTCCAAACAAGAATTTGAGACTCACATTGATTTGACCATAACATCAGAGTTAGCAGTGGTTCTGTCTCTCTCTCTCACACACACACCCTTATGAAAGAATAAATCAAAATATAGGGGATGAGAATAATAAAGCAAAATTGCAAATATTTGCCTATATTTCAGAAAAGATAATCCCATAGTACAAAGAAGGAAGCCACAATTTTCAGGCAAAGTGGACTATGGAGAATAATAACCTGTGTAACGTGAATGTTGGGTTGGAATAAGTATGTTCACAGCAGCCTTACTGCACTGATTTTAGGTCACCTTAGCTGATAAAGTGCTCGGGCATCACTGATTACTCAAAGGCTCTTGAAAAATTTTTTTATAAAAAAAAAAATCACAAATATCACACACTAAATCAAAGCAAAAAGCTGTAGAAAACAAAATGGGACAATCTGGAAAACTTGAACAGCAGTGATATTAAGATATTAGAGTCAATCGCTACTTGGCCTTTTGGCTAAGATCAAGTGAAGATATTAGAGTCTCATTTTTTTTTAATTTGCTAATGGTTTTATAATCACATTTTTAAGACATCCTTATTTATTAGCTATAATACTACAATATTTATTAATAATGTGATATATAAGATTTGCTTCAAAATACCTGGAACTACTGAGTAGTAACAAGGTATAAATGAAATGAGATTAGCTATGAATTTCTACTTTTTGAACCCAGGTGACAGATAACTTAGAAACTTACAATGACAACCTCTCTCCCTTTATATATGTAATTTTCTGTTAAAAATTTAAATATGTAAGTAACACTCTCCAGGGAAAAAAAGGCACCAGTGTTAAGTCCCACAACTAAAGTTTAGATACACCTATTTCCCCACATCTATATTAACAATGAGCTAATCTTTTTGCATCTGTACCAACCAATAAGCAATATTATATGCTATTTGGGGCCTACCACTATATATCTAACCCATCACGCATTAATAAGAACACTAACATTTTTCCTTACTGATCATAGAAATACCAGTAATTGTTTTCTGATGCTAATTTGCTTTCAAAAATTATGTTCACTTAAAAATGCATGAAAAGGAAATATTTGATAACATGTTCACATATATAGTACACTTAATGTGTGTGTGGACCTTACATGAGGGGGATTAATAAGGAAGCTGATAAAAATATGCACCCAGGGCCTCCCCTGTTGGCACACTGGTTGAGCGCTGGGCTGCGAAGCTGCCCGCAGCCTTTGCAGGGCCGGTTCGATCCCCGAGCTCCGGCGAGGGCTGCTCCCCTCAGCAGTGTATTTCATCAGTCTGCCTGTTCTGTTCCCCGCTCTGGTGAATTCTCTCACCCTCCCGCACTTCTGACTGTACCCCATGCTTGTATAAATAAATAAATAGATTTTAAAAAATAAAATAATTCTCTTAAAATAAAAAAAGAATATGCACCAAAATATTGTGATTATTTCTAAGTGATAGGTTCATGAGTAACAAGTGGCTTTACTTATGATATTTTGTAATTTTTGAACAATAAATGACTTTTAAAAGTAGTACAGCTTAAGAGAGTCACGATACACACAAAAATACA